CATTCGTCAGTATTTTTCCAGAGAGTCATCGGTCGACCGGTCCGGTCGACCGAGAGCTCAAATCGGTCGACCGACAGAATTTCCGGTCGACCGACGATGGTCCAGAACGTTTTCTTCGTGTTTTTGCTCTCATCGGTCGACCGACGGGATTTTCGGTCGACCGACAATGTGACCGTTGGACTTCCAACGGCTATTTCTGAGCTGACTTTTCTCGGGCTTTTTGGTCATTTTGTTTTGGGGGTTTTTGCTGAGATTTCTAGTGGGTATATATACCCCATTGCTGATGTCTTTTCAAACTAACTAAGAGAGTTTTAAAACAAGTTTAAGAAAGTTTTAATCAAGGGTTTAAGTTTGTTTAAAGTGTGTTTATAAGCTTTTAAGCATTTGAGTGTTTCGATTTTGTGAATCAAATTCCACAAGAGCTTGAGGAGATTATCTATTGAAGTTTGAGCTTCCAACTATCATCCCTCCATCTCTTGTTATCAAATTGAGAAGTTTTCTAAACTCAAACTCTAGCTTTACATTTATATACTTGTTTGATTATCATTGTTCTTAAGCTAGATTTTATATTTGAGTTTAGTTTGATTTTGATTTTACTCATTGTTACACACACCCACATTGAGCTTTTAGTATTTACATACATAGTATAGTTGGGTGGTGAGAGATTGTAACTTTGAGTTGTGCTTTAATTGTGTTCTCATCCATATTAGAGAACAAATTATATTTGTTACATTGTGAGATTGTTAGGTTTTCGGTGAGCTAGAAACCGAGTGTGTTGTGAGGTTTTCGGTGAGCTAGAAACCGAGTGTGGGGTGAAAGTTTTCGGTGAACTAGAAAACCGATTGTGAGGAGTGACGTTGTTCGGTGAGCGTTGAAAACCGATACTGTGAGGTGTAAACGTTGTTCGGGTGAACGTAGAAAACCCGGTTGTGATAGTGGATTTCTCCCCGGGAGTGGGGAGCGGAGACGTAGGACGGAAGGTCCGAACTCCGTGATCATATTGCTTGTTTGAGTGTGCTTTGGCGTTCATTCATATTTATGTTCATATCTTATATCGCCATTGTCATTAGCTCATTATCTATATCATCCACTATCTTGTTTAGATTATTTACCCTTGTGTTGTTTATATATCCTTGCATATATTTTATCATATAGGATATATCTCATTGTTTACATTGCTTATCCTAGCTCATATATCTTGTGATATTTCATACTTGCTAGGATAACTTGTTAATTAGTTTTTAATTGGCATTTAATCGGATTAGATTAGCATAAGACCCTAATCACCCCCCCTCTAGGGTCTAACATGTCATTCCCGGCAAAAGTCTCGATCTCGATTCGATCTCTAACTGATTTTATTAAGATCGTGTGCAGTTGGGATCCTCGTAAAATCACAGATTCGTAATGCCCACATCCTTAGAAAAACTCAAAACCCTAATAAAAGGGACTTCCTACTCACATGCCGCTTTGAAACTTTCTCCCCGCTCACGTGTCCTTCGAAGCTTTCCCTCTACAAACTCTGCTCACGTTCCCTTTGAAACTTTCTCTTTTTTTTTAATTTCGCGCAAAATAGTTAAAAGCCTTAAATCTCGGTTTTTCTCTCTCAAAGCCTTTTTTGCATAATATAAATTGCAAATAATCCAAAAAATCAACATAAGCGAGTTAAAGGATAATAAAATGAAATGAGTAGTTATTTAGTATTACTTAATGTTTAATGTGAGAGATTATCTGTATATTTCATATTTTTATGACAATAACAACACTAGTAGAGATGATAAGCTAATGTGAGAGATTATCTGTATATTTCATATTTTTATGACAATAACAACACTAGTAGAGATGATAAGCGTATTCAACGTTTTTCTGGATAAGACTACAATACTTGCTAGAAATGACATGTAATAGATATTTGACCATAAGCAAGAAAGAAACAAAGTTTTCAAGGGGATAAGTATAATTTAACATCAAAATGAGATTCTTGGGAATGTTTTAGTAATATAAAGTAGTTCTACGTGTAGATAGTTTTGATGGTTTCTAATAGAGATTCTAGTTTTCATTCTGATAATGCTACATGGAACTTTAAACCTTTAAAAATATTATTTAATAGAGATTCTAGTTTTCATTCTGATAATGCTACATGGAACTTTAAACCTTTAAAAATATTATTATGGATAGGAGGCACGAACGTATACAATCACATAGTCATGAAGATATACAATCAAAACAACGTTGTGATTTACCAGATGGTGCACACATGTGATACATCATTTTGTTATTTAAGCCGAAATTGCAGTAATGTATGTACATAATTTCTCGAGTTTCAGCTCACGTCCAACATGTAGATGTTTTTAGTTTGCAGAAATTTAAAACTACGGTTACAAATTACAAAATAACAATTAATTTTTTTTTGAGTTCTAAGTGTCATAGCATGAAGCATTGAGTAAAATTATCGTACAATATAAGAGGATAATATTCAAAAGCTAACTGTTGAACAAAGAGAGGAACTATGGTGAGGGGGAAAAAGAAAGAAGAAAATATTGACTTCAGGATCTTAAAACCTTCATAATTAGTCTCTTGCAGCATCATTGATCCTCTACTCCAACATTTGCAGGAGAACTCAACATGTATAAAATTGATAGCAATGTTGGAGAAAGATTAAGGGGGAAATATAAACATCTTTATATTGAGACAGCAATAGACTCATTAGTGTTCATCAGGGCAACCCCAATCATATTTAGTGTACATTCCTCTGTCTAATGATGGTTTGAGTAGGGAGTTGAAAAGTGCATTAGATGAATTAATTACACAAATGAGACATGCTATTCAACTCGTAGAGCAAGACGAAGTGAAACTGGGGATTCAACTCTTGCTTCCTTCACTGTTGATGCATTGAGGAAACACAATTATACATCAACTGGCAATCTCTTGAGCTTCTCTATCCTAGAACGTCACACAAAATTATACTGCCAAGTGCTTCCATAAACCTGCAGAAAATGGAATTATGTTATTCCTGCGGATTCCTAGCTCCTCTAAGCTGGACAAAGAAATCACCTCTTCCCTCAACTAAACAGTGGTTACGAAAAATATTTATTAATGCATCTTTCATTATCTATAAAACTACTGAATGGACTTTGGTTGTTTCTTAATTCGTTTTAGGGGAAACATGGAAGAAAAAGAAATGTAAATAAATGTAGTAGAGAGCAAAGGGATTTCCTTACCTTAGAAGAAAATACAGTTGAAAAGTGATCGAATCCCCAAATTTCTCAAAATAAAAATAAGAAACATTGGACGCGGGGTCCAAGGGTTTTATCAGAATAACTGTGAAGGACGGTAACAAGTAATAAACGACATTTTCAATAATAAAAGGAATAAGCTGAACATGTGATAAGCGATAATTTAAAAACAATCTTTGTTCACTTTACGAATTGCATGAACTCAACATCTATAACCTGATTTAACTACTTACTGCAAAAGAGGAAAAAGACAGATCTTGTATCGTAGTTTCCAAACAAAAGCAATAAGTTATTCCAGTTTCTACACTGAAGTTCCCAATCTCTCATTTTACTCTGGTACACTAATTAGCCTTCCCAGTCCCATTTCATGCTAAAAATTATGCGCAAGGAAGAGTAGAAAAAAGGCTGAGCCAGTGAAAGAAGACAACCCCAATCAACCTACGAGTGAAAAACAACAGTCAAGATCAATCCCCCAATGTACAGACTACAGCCATATCATATGTAATACTAGGGAAAGTGGCGTGTAGGTTTTCCATATATGGAGGAAATCTATGGGGGTCGCTGAAAGAAGAATGATCCTGGTTTCTTAATATGACTTTCTAATCTTCAACTTTTCATTCGAAAATTCAACTGCTGCTAACTATAGTAGGTGACGTGCCTCAATTTCACGCTTGGTGTCTTGGAAGGGATTATAAGGGAATGCTTAAGTTGCACACTAGAGATGCAATGGATAAAATACAACGAAATTGGACTTGAATAGAGATATCTTACAGGTTACAAATGAAAGATTATTTATCGCATAATCTAATTACAATATGGCTGCTTGAATTTTCCTCTTCTACTGTCTACAATTTGTTTGATCTAACATTTTACAGGTTTGGCTTAATTTATTGATAATCACTTTCTGCTTAAGGTCGTTGAGTTAAATAAGCTTTTCCTAGGTTTGAAAAAAAAAAAAAAAAAAAACTACTTGATGAATGTTAATTCCGGTTCACAAGACGGGTACGGAAGCGTGGTACGCCACTCATTAGGAATCGGGTACAAGGGAGTAAGGCTTATACACTGCTCCAGGAAACGTGGGACTATTTAGGTTCGGTTTAAATGTAGGAATAACAGGTTTTGCAAGAGTCAAATTTAAAAAATATGCTAGTTGATACCAGCAATGGTAAAAGAACATTGGGAATCATGTTGCAATTAATGCGTGCATATTTTATTTGCTGAATTTCTCACTTTTTTGTTGTTTATTCTTTTAAAAAAGAGTTGTTTTTTTTTCAAAATTTTATCTAGTTTGAATTCTAAATAGGGCTGTTGGAGTTGGTGAATCGGTCGTGTTCCACGCGAATCGGGGACGATTGAACTCACGTCGCGGTTTGCTATAGCGTCCCACATTCCTGACTTTTATGGTTTTGAGATAACAAACATTTAAGTATGTAATGCTAAAGCTCTTCGTTAATATTTACGAGTTATTTTATCAAGCATGTATGACCTTTTGTCGACAATCTTTACAATGACCATATCACATCCGCAATTCAATGATTTTATGTTTCTCAACTGACACATGTTATATCTTCGAGAAAATTTAAGTGTTATTAAAAATTAATGTGACGTTTGAAGGACCATGT